CTACACCTCTCAGCTGATATCCACGCATCGCTCACCTCGATTTGTCGTCGATTCACGCTCATTTTTATAAAGCAAGGAGGGAGGAAGAAGATGAAGGATACGGGGTAAGAAGTCTCATGGTGAAGGAAGTGTTAACAGAGCTCTTGAATATATGCCCTCCAAAAAAAAGAAATACTGACAAATGTGTTTAGAAATGCACAAGATGGCGCCATTTAGTTCCAGAGTTTAGGTAACATTTGCTTCCTTGGCAAGACTTTCATCATGGCTGCACAATTTCAATATTGACTGGTTTTGCAATTGCGACATGATTCCCGATATTAAAGGGATCATCTTTCTGTAAGATATTGGATTTGACTTCTCTGTACGAGAGTTTATTCAGAACATTTCATAATGTTGCACTTCGGCTTGTATTCAAAGTAATACATGTACATGCAGCCTATACTCTCATACCTCTCATTTCAACATGAAACTGAAGCTAGAACGCTGTTAGCTTAGCTTAGCATAAAGACTGGAAGCAGTTAGCCTCACAAAACCTGGCAACCAACACAGGGCACAATCTTTAGTTGTCACTGAATGCAAGGATGGGTTTTTGTAAACATTTTAACAACAAACTTTAAAAAGGCTATTCACCATGAGAAGACAAGAACAGAGAGAAATTAAAAATACTGATATGAGGCACCTCCAGTATTTAGCTAACCTAATTCAAGTAGTTCAACAGAGTTATAAGGACATGCTAATCAATGAGCTTTAGAGGTGCTTGTAGATGGGTTTTGTGTCCTATGCTAAGCTAACTAGCTGCTGTCTAAGCTTTATTCTGAACTGACATGAAAGTCTTGCCAAGTAAGCAAATAAGCGCTTTTTCAAATATGTCAACAAAAAAAACCGGTTATCACGGCATTAAGATGCAGGCTGTTTACTTTGATGAAGTGGGGATATTCTCATTTTTCTTTTTATAGCAGCTTATGTGCGAGTATTTTTGTTTCTAGTGCCTTTCACAGGAGGCCAGAAAAAGCTCCTGGCTGTTTTCAAGTTGAAGGCGACGATGATTATTGTTATTATTATGGTGAGTGATGCGTTTCCTTTCCGAAACGAGACCCCCCGCCTTGCTAAAAATGTGCTGCCGAATCTGTCAAAACAGATGTCGGCTTAAAAAATGATGCTCACAGTGTGGAGCATTACAGAGATTAGATATAAGAACAAATAGACCATTACATGCTGAGTGTTTTTACACACTGATTATTAAATAACACCCCCACCCCCACCCCCCCTCTCATTTCCTGTTTGGAGCGAGTCACTGTAAGGTGCAGTTTCACTCGGCACCTCGCTTGTCTTTGTTGCCGGCTTCTCTTAATCGGGCCGATTGCTTGCTTCTTGAGCGCGGGAGTCCATGTGTTTCTCAAGATTTAAGTATGACGATATGAGAGGAATAGTTGGGAAACATCTTCAGAAAGCTGGATGTTTCTCAGTCTTCTAGCTTTCTTTCCTTCTTCCTGAATCACGGTGTTCAAAAGGATGGTGATTCAAAGAGTGTAGGATTTGGAAACGGTCCAGCTGAAGCTCTTAATGGGTTAGATGTGTCTCTGTTTACCAACAAATCAACCTTTCCAGATCACAGAGGATTTATGTGAGAAGGGTTTTCATTCGTTGTCGATAACAAAGCCTCAAGTCATTCTTTAGTCTTCATGCAGGGCGGTTAATCTACATAATTTCTCTCATGCCAATAACGCACCATGCTTTCAAAACCACTGAGGCTCTATATTCCCTTTTTCTTTTTTAACATGCATTTCTTTTCTCTTTGTCATTGCTGTGCTTTTTGTCTCTGAGGACACCAGGGTTTCTCTGACAGACTGTCATACGTCTGACTGTTGACCGGTTTCATTCCCCATGTTCACTGTGGTCACATTGAAGCTTTCTGCCCTCAACAGCTGAACACAGCTCAGCCATCCCTATCAGACTATCTTTTTAAACTGTTGTGAACAAACTGATTGGCTGGTTCTGGGTCAGATGTTGAGGGGGAATAAATTAAATATATTGTGTATTAAGAAGGAAATGTCCAACAGGAAGTAATTCCCTGTCTTGATCTTGAAGGAGGAAAGGAGGTGTGGCTAATCGAATCGTACAGAGCTAATTGAGGATGTAAACATAATGGAAATAAACAATCTCATTGGTTGAAAACAGATGAGAAGTGACAGGATGGCTAATACTCTTAAGTCAAGCGTCCTGCCATGTTATATTACTTTTGTGCTAACCCCTAACTATCTTACAGTATGAATTTCATTACATTTACATAATAATTTGCTGTAGAGAAACATATGGTTTGTTCTGGATCCCAAAGCTTCATGTTTTTTAGGACAATAATCATCAAATAACTCTAAAAAATGATTGTAATAACCCTTATTTTTACGGGCTTTCAAAACAAAATGACTGTTGGGAAGTGAACTAATCCAAAATGAACCATGTGATACAATCATATAAGATAATATGACTACCATTTTACGATAGGTTGGAGAGGACAAACATTTCTTGTTCCCCAAATATCTTTTACCATAATGAACAATTTATTGAGATAAAAGATTATATTACAGCTTTCTGAAAAATCATCTCGTTCCATTGTGGTACTACATTACCCAGAAGCCTCAGCGCAGTTGCAATTGTACCCGATAATGTTCAACCAATGAAATCATTGTAGTGTTTGTTCATCTCAATCACTGAACCTGCACTATTTAGAAAACTTAAGAGTCTCTTTGATTTTGCATCCCTCTGATTAAATCTTAGTTTTCTTTTCGATCGTGACCACACCTCCCCCTCCTTCTCGACTGAACTGAAGATTAATTTGTGGGTTTGGGGTTTCAGGCGAAGGTGATGTTTTGTGGGTTACTGATATATTATTTTGTGATGTTAATAAGAATCTGGTGTCAGGCAAAAGGGAAAACCACGTAAAAGCTGGTATTTGTGGTTTTCCTTCTCGGTTCTTATGTGTATATTGGAGGCACTTGCATATATAAATATCAATGTATAATTTTCCTCTTCACGGTCATCGAGTGCCAACTACAGTTATTCTTGTCGGATATTATTTTTGGTCGTCCTTTTTATGTTTTGTTTATAACATAACTGCCAACCGCTGATTTAAATAAAGCAAAGTGATTTATAGACGCCTGGTGTTGCTGTGTTTTTAATTCTGTTGTCTTATATAGCAATGACACCTTCCTCAGAAAGACGAAGAAGAAGTAATTTTAGTCCTTTTTAAAAAGTAGTTTTAGATAAAGATTCTGGTGATATTCTATAGTTTTCTTATTGGAGACATCTACTTCCTTTGTGCCACAGAGCTCCATTATTGTAAAAAACATATTAAAAACACTCAAATGAGCCTCACTGTTAAAGGTAAGAATGGAGAAACCAGCTCGAGTGCGCCAGAAATTGAAAATAAACAACCGGACAAAATCTGCCCCTTCCTTCAGACTTCCTTACAGAGCCCCTCCTCCAACACACACGAACGCGCACATGACCAATGAGGGCACGAGATAAGTTTGTGCACAGATGGAAGGCTGACAGGCAGGTAGGCCATCCAGTTATTTTAGCCGGGCCGGCTCAGATGATTGGCTGTGCTTTTTACAGCGCTACAGCGCTACGGCTACGGTGTTTCTGAAGTGAATTACCTTCCTTTACACACACACACACACACACACACACACACACACACACACACACTATCCTGCTGCCACAAATACTCACTAGAGCACCAAATGTAGATCAATCCGCTGCTGAAAGTAGTTCCAAAGTTCCAAAACAATCCACAATTTCCTCCTTTTTGTTTATTTAAAAATATATAGTGCACTAGCAGTTTTTAGAAAATACTCGGTCAATAAAAAAACGTTCTTATATATCTGGGTTTTAAAAAAAGATTTTGAAGGAACATGAAAGCCTTTTTTTTATTTAGAAACCAATGAATTTGGAGCTGAGAGCCACAGACAGGAAGTCAGACGGTATTAAGAGACATCTGCTCTTCAGTTTTAATTTTTTGGTTTCTTTCTCTGTTTCCTACTTATATGTTGCTTCCTTTGAGGGACAGCTGTGATGGTATGTGACTTTTAAAAGGATTTACTGACATAATCTGTGGAAGTTATACACTAGCGCAACTCATTTTAGTTACATTTATTTTTCCACGACTGTCGATCTGTAACAGACACACATTGTCTTCCATAGACCAACACACACACATGTGCAGTGTCAAACTAAAGAAAAACTGAAGCAGCAATCAAGCTTGGTTGAAGATGCACTCGTAAAACAACCTAATCACTGTGTGTGTGTGTGTGGGGTCTGGGCCTGATTTACCGAGGCCCCAGTGAGTCTGCCTGCCTCGCTTTGTTTACGCGGATGAAATCTGAAACAAATGTGACTGTGCAGACCACCAACCCTCCTATCCTGGGTGTGTGTGTCCTGTAGTCTGACATTTAATACATCTTCTAGAAGCTAATCTCTTTGAAGTTGATCGAAGAGCACATTCTGCTTATTCTAATTGATAACCACAAGTCTTGAATCTCACATTTAAAATCATACGTCATGGTTTTGATAAAAATGCTTATTACCTTTTTTCTTCCAAGTAAGCTTTGTGGAGCTTTCAATGATATCATGATCTTCATCTGATCATTTGGACCACTAGAGATCCCGGCATTACAATAAACGCTAATATGGTTCGTAGTTGAGTAGCCCAGTCTGCTCTGATTGGTTAGCTGGCCCGTATATAATTAAGTATTTACGTATGATATGGAAAATGTACTTATCATATCAGTATGTAGTGTCTCTCCTGGGACATGTCTCCATGCTGCAGCACCTCTTTTCACCCTCTGTCTGAAACCAGAGCCCAGTCTAATCTAATTGGTTAGAGATATCCCGCCCCTTAGCCTATCACGTACAATGTGTTGGAGCGATAGCCAATAGAAGCGTGAGTGTTAAATAGTGATGTCACTATGTTACGGAAGATTACAAAGGAGTCCAATGGAGACGTTTCTGGCGCCTTGAAGATTAGCTATGGTTTTACTTGAGACTCGTTTCACCCTGTGTTGAGACTTGAAGTTTTTCAATGTGTGTGTGTTTCTTAATTATGTTGATCTATTTCTGAAAAGTATTGTAACATTCTTAATCTGATAATCCCCATATTTAGAAATGTAACAATAATCTGATTACGTCCCGTAGTTTGACAAACCCACAGAGCTGTTGTCACACATGTACACACACACACACACACACACACAACACACACACACAGAAAGAGAGCCACTGCATTAAGTTCCAGATGAATGTTTTATACACTCTCATCGCTCTTTTCTGTTAGAAGAGATTACATCCGTCATATAGAAACAATAAAAAAATAGAAACTGAAAAGACATCATACACTGATACATAACATATATTATATTACTATATCACATATCGGTTTTTACAATAGGTATGAATGTTGAATAATAAAAAAAGACAAACAATGAAATACAACCTTTGCTCTTTGCGATTATATTATCAGGACTAAACAGAGAGGCTTCAGGCACTTTTCCTTAATACACACACTGACGGTTCCCTTTTCCTCGCCACAGAAAGAAAAATAAATGCGGTATTATGAAGCTCGATCACAGACGACAGACAGCTTTAAAACAGAGGCCTTTACTCCTATGCTACCTCGCTTCAGACTTTTTTTCAAATTAATCGGTGCATAACTACGTACTGCTGAATAGGGGCGGACCGCCATTGGATATCGGGAGTTTTTACGAAAGTGGGCCGGTCCGACTAAGTGGACGAATTCCCCGCCCCGCCTCCCCCCCCGTTGACAATTGA